TATATAAATACTGGTGGCCACCAATGCTCACCCTCAACCTGGTATAAATATGAAAATCCTAAGTGACTTCCTTCTTGAGTTATGCCATTCATAAGATTTTCACAAAACTTGACCTCTAAGCTTGATCTTGAGGTGGAGGTGACTGTGATTTGAACTCCTCCAAGATTTTTAGTAGATGCCCTTATGGTGTCAGTTTGAACCCTCTATGTCACATTGTTGGAGTCAAAAATCGAGTCAACATCAAGTGATTATGAGAATGTTGTAATGTTTCTAAACAAGTGAAGGAAGAAACAGAGATTCTGGGTTCATCCAGTTCTCACGAGAACAGAGCAGCAGGGAGAATTTCATGGAATCCGGAAAACTTTTGTACATATTTCAGGATGTCAGTGGGACAGTTTGATCGCATCTGATTTTCATTGAATTTATCTCAATTTTTTATTTATTTTCATAAAAAAGACCTTTATATACCTTTATACTATACTTTGCATGCATGTGTTAGGACTATAGGAGGAAGTCAGAGTAACCAGAGGGAATCCACATAAGCACGAAGAAGAATAGACATGAGTCTAAGCCCCAAGAAGCTCAGCTGCATATCTGCAGTGGATAAGACGTGCAAAAACAATACAATCTATATTGTACTAAAATGAAGCAGACTTGCAAAAGTCTGCTTCATTTTAATAAAATAACTGTTCTTTACCATTTTACCATGTAACCAAAGAAAACTGTGATGATTTTTCTAAACTGTGAAAAATAAACAACAAACTGCAGACTTTATTTACTGTTTTGAGCTTTTGAGTTCGGACATCTGCCATGAACTGGAATGGTTCACCTCAAACACCAGCTCACTGTCAGTGAAGTATGTAGTACACAAAGGTAATTGTGATTATTAACCATGGTGAACTGATGAAGCTTTTGGACATTTGTATTTTTCAATGGTAGCTTGAAAGTTGGGGAGTGTCTGTAGCTCAGAGGGTAGAGCAGGTCTCTACTAATTGGAAGGTTGGTGGTTTGATCCCTGGATGCAAGATACTGAACCCCAAGTAGATCTCTGATGCATCCATTGGAGTGTGAATGTTGGATAGAAAACACTGAAATAAGGGGAAAAGTGCTTGTGTGAACGAGACATGTTGTATAAAGCACTTTGGCTGCTCGGGTAGAGTAGAAAGGCCCTATATAAAGAGCCAATCCTTTTACATTATAAAATATACTGTTAAAACCCTGGTCCTCTATTCCCGATTAACATCCACTTTTTTGTTGTTGGGAATTTTTTTTTAATGATTTTCTATTTGAGTGGCTAAAACAGGTGACAATTCTATGAAATGTTTTGATGTTAAGCACCCCACTTCCTAACCCTAGATGAATTTCAGTCCATATGCACAAAACACCCACTGGATATTTAGATGTGATCACTGGTAATTTATCAGTAGCCTGACCCTAATCAAGATGCCCCATCATCTTCTGCTCTGTTCTTCTCTATGTATGTTTTTAAGTTTGAAGCATTTTCTCTCTTATTTTTTTTATATTCTTAATATGCTTCGTCTTCTTCTTTTTTTCTCTAAATTGATAGAAATTTTCGCAAGCACCTTCGGATGGTGGGCAGTCGCAGGATGAAGGCCCAGAGTGAGTCTTTGCATTTGTTTCTGTTGGCATGTGTGTGCATTGTCAAAACACTACCATGCATTCATGCTCTCGAGTGTGTACCATGACATCACAGTGGATGTTCATTTGATGTTTTTCATGCTTTATGCACGTAGCATCAGTAGTGTGGACGTGTGTATATATTTTGTTAGAGTATACTAAACATTATTCCTTAAACTGCTAATTGATGGTAATTTTATCGCTATGCAGTGTTTAGACGGTCTTTGTATTTGTTCATTGTTGTGAGACTTGTACCATTTGTATGATATTGATTGTGCACTATATTGAACTGAAAGGCAATTTCTGTTTAACAAGACAGAATCCCAGCTAGTTTACGTGTGGTGTTTGTTTAGCTGTGCAGTTCTGAGTATGTGCTATTTTTGAAATATCTGAAATGTTTTTTTTTCTTTTTTAATGTGTAAAGTATTTCCTCTGTACATATTCACATTGTTATTTGACATTAAGGGAAAAAAGCGTCCTTGGTTTGAACTCCCACCAGGCTAATCTCAAGACTCTGATGATGAGATTTTATACATTTTTATTACAAATGGTTTAAATATTTACAAAATACAAACATAAAGCAAAACAAAACAAAATACAGCTGTAATGCTTTAATAATTTAAAGATACTTGTGTTTTGGGTATGTTCATAGAAAATCTGTGAAATAAATGCTAAAAAACTGTTAATAATCATTTTGTATCTGATGAAGGTCAGTTGCACTGAAACAGCACGATTCAGTGAAATGGTGTTAAGTAAGAAAGTGTGTGGTGGAGGTTATATTTCTTTTTAACCCTTTTCTACCTTCTACACACCTATCAGGTGTGCAGAAAGTCTGAACTACTTAAAAATACTGATAAAAGAAATCAATATGTATTAAATTGTATATAACGATATCTATAAATTAAAAGTGCATTACTGCAATTTTGTTTAAACAACTTTATTAATTTTAATGACTTTTTTGTCTTGGAATCATTAAGACAACAGAAAAACTGAAAAATGATCAACCATTTGCTAATACAATGTAAACTCTTACTGTTCTGTTAATATGAAGCAACATGTCCTGATATCCAACCGGGACAATGGAATTGACTGATTCACAAGCTAGGTCAATAAGACAGAGCTCTTGATTACTGGGTTTGATTATCCTTTGGAGACTGTATATATGTGTGCGTGTGAGTCACTCTCTGCCTCCCCCCAACTTCATCAGCCTTCGTCGATCGTCGAGCCAAGAGCTTCAGCCGCTCGTGGAGTGACCCCACCCCCGTCAAGCCTGAGTCACTGCATGAATCCAGAGACAGTGAGTCCATGCTCTCTTAGTTACTCACAAGCAAACACACGGTATACAATATATACCTTAGGCCTTTCTTAAACTTGGCTTCTTACACATGTATGTATAAACACCTACAGGTAAGCACGCAGACAACTGCACTCAAGCATAATAAGGCTGCACACACATTAAAACAAGAACAAACACAGATTGACAGATGCTCTGTCACGCAAACATGCTGTCTCTTTTTATTTTATATTGCCATTTTTAAAGTATGCTTTATTCTGCGTACCACTACTCAACTGTTACCATCCATCCGCACAGCTCTACTCATCCTGCGGCCTGTCGTCCATCTGCCTGTTGTTTTGTGTTGTATCTGTCTGTATCTGGCTGGGCAGATAAGGAGCCTGTTATTGTGTCCTTTTGTGTTGTGTGCCGTTTGTTTTTAACTCCTCCATTTCTCCCCTCTGTGCTGGGAAAAGAAAATAACAGGTGCAGCGTTTTCAAATGGCGCACCCCGCTCTACTAATCTTGTTTGTGTATTATCCTTTCATCTCGCCCTTTGTTCCCATGTGTGAACCAGGTGGCGAGCTTCAGACCTCCTCAGGGACGCTGGATGAAGGGCTGGACGAGGATGCCGACTGGGAGGAGGAGAGGGAAATGGAAAGAGTGGCCTGCGACGGAGAAGACTTTATCCCTCCCAAAATCATGGTGAAGTTCCTGGCAATTAAATTAACATATAGATTAATGAAGTTTGAATATATGTGCAATCAAAGTCTATCTGCATGCTTTTCTTCTCTCCATAGCTGATATCTTCCAAGGTCCCAAAGGCTGAATATGTTCCCAACATAATTCGTAGGGACGACCCCTCCATCATCCCCATCCTTTATGTGAGTATCTGCTAGTGAGTTTCCACTACATTTTGATTGACTGGTAGATTTTTATTTGGTGTTGTTTCTTGATGAGATGCCACAGGAGCTGATGGATAAGTGTTAAGATTGACTTTTTTTTAATCTTGTCCCTGGCAGGTTGTTGGGTTTTTAAAGCAAACCAGCCAACATAAATTTGGCTGAAATACAAATGGTTGGAGCCTTTAAATAAGTGTTTTAACTTCTCTGTGCAATCTGTGCTGAGAGTGGTCTGTTTAGTAAAACCATCTCATCTTTTTCGAATACGCTGCATGCAACAGTGACATCTGTTAGTACCATTAGATGAAGTCAGGTGACAACATTACTAGAATTCTGTGGGTACCTTGAAAATCTGTATTAAATTTCATACAAATCCATTTGTGGATAAAACTGACATTTTAGTCAATTTAGAAACTTTAATGACTTTTTTAAAACTTCCAGTAGCTTCTAAATTGCAAGTTAAAAGCAAAGATCAAATGGAAGCTCAGTAAATGATTCGTTCAGTCAAGTGCTCAGAGTTCATTTTTGTTCGAGTGTAGAAAAGCACCGTCAATCATCCACTTGAAGTGACATGTCTCCTCAGCAAAATACAGACTCATCACAGCCTGGCTTTGAGGTTCTGCTAAGTGGCACCATGTTGTTTGTCTGCTCAGATGAAAATATAAAGGCACTCCTTTGCTGTGTACCAGCTGGCATTTTCCAGTAAAGAGAATTATACGACGGAAAGTGCAGCGTTCTTTCAAGTACTGCCAAAATACAAATGTCTTCTTTTTTTGGTTCTAAATGACAGTTCATTAGGGAACCATGGTTTCCCGACCTTTCTAACAACACTAAAGAGTCCATTTGGATTTCTGTTTTCTGCTGAAACATCTCGGTGACTGCTGGTCAGGTTGCTGTGGAATTTTCCATGAAAATTTATGTTCCTATCTCGGTAAATTTCAATATGTTGGCTTTTCCTTTTTTAGCAATATCAAGTCATTTTATTTTGTCCACTGTTCTGGTTTATTAGCTTATTTATTACGTTATCCTTATGCCCCAAACAACTAGAGCTAATTAGCAAATATTCATATGCTACCACACTAAAATAAGACCATGAATTCTCCTGACTAAACCATTAGATTTATTTCGTTTGTTTGTTTGTTAAATTCTATTAGAGAGAGATTAGTTGAGTTTTAATTTTAAGATAGGTACTGTGTTAAATATTGATATGAGTTAGCATTTAGCCTATCCTCAAACTACATGACAGTTAACTAAAAGAAATCAACTAAGACAGTGAGACATGCATTGCTCTTGTAGTGCAGTGTCAACCTTACAAAAATATTTCCAGTTATATCAAAATCTTTAGGAAATTGGCTCCTCAGCTGCCTTACTCTTTGACTTCAGGAAACCCTTTTCTGATGAGTTCATGGACTGAATAACTAGTTGTGGGTAATCATAAATGCAACATTAAGTTTATCTTGTGAACTGTGGTCCTTCTAAGAATCACAATGAATGACTATGCAGCATATGTTCATTTGCTAGCAACTTTTGAATCACAAGTTATTCAGCAATGATTTTGTAGTTTCGCAGTCAAATCCACCTCATGGTCATTATATCTGGTTTCAACACATATAGTAGTTTTAAAACTTGTGTAGCGCAAATTAATGTGACCACTGTCTTTTTTTTCTCCTAGCATTTAACACTAAGAATACAGAACATATCCAAACTAGCAAAGCAAAGAAGGAGACTGGGGATAAATGGACCATGTTCAGTACCACCATTGCTAAAACTGGTTCACTGAGTTGCAGCTCCAAGCTGCTTGTCGCAGGGTGGCCACCGCAGGTGAAGGGAGCCTTCATTCTGAAGAAGGAGTCCCTCGGAAGGTGGTCTCAAAATGTCAACGCTGCTCTTTAAAGATGATGAGGTTTGGTTGGCTTCATCAGGTGGTGGCCTCCAGCTCAGACTGGAGAATCTTGAGTGTAAAGCGACAAGAATGAAAAGGAAAAGGGTGAGAGTCCACTCTGGGTCAGGTACGAGTTACTGTCCCAAGTGGATGAGTTTAAGTATCTTGTGCCGGTCCATTGTAATGAAGAGAGAGCAAGGATAAAAGTGAAGCTCTTGGTTTACTAGTCGATCTACGTCCTTACCCTCATCTATGGTCACAACATTTGGGTGGTGACCGAAAGAATGAGATCACGGATACAAGTGATGGAAATGCGCTTTCTCCAAAGGGTGGCTAGCCTCTCCCTTAGATATAGGGTGAGGGGTTTGGCCAACCAGCAGGGGCTCAGAGTAGAGCCGTTACTCCTCCTCATCAAAAGGAGCCAGTTGAGATGGTTCGGGGATCTTGGGTGGGTGCCTCTTGGGTGAGGTGTTCTGGGCATGTTCCACCAGGAGGAGGCCCCAGGGCAGACCCAGGACACACTGGAGAGATTATATCTCTCAGATGGCCTGGGAACGCCTTGGTGTTCCCTCGGACAAGCTGAAGGAAGTGGCCAGGGAGAGGAAGGCCTGGTCTTCTCATCTTGGGCTCTTGCCCCTGTGACCCGGGTGGATAGATATTAGCAAAGATACAGCAACAGCTAACTAATCAGAAACAAATCACACTCAGTGGTTTGAAAAGATAGAAGAAGTTAGCCTAAAATATCATCATTAACTTATATTATTGTGTACTGTAAGTTTGATTGGTATTTTTATCATTAACAACTTATTATTCTCCAGGTTTACTGTTTGGTGGGGTTGTTACCTGAGGAACTTTTGCACTGCTGTACAGAATAGAGACTCTATTAGGTGTAAAAGTGTATCATGTTGTAATCTGTTAGAGTCAGCACTCAGAAAAAAAGCTTGTTGTTCTTTTAGATTCGGTTTTTGAATGAATAATTTTGTTTTTCTCCATTTTATTTAAAGGACCATGAACATGCCACATTTGATGACATTCTGGGTGAGTGCAATACTTGTTTTCTTTTTTAATTTTAGACCTCAAGTGAAAATTACTCTGCGTAAATGTGGACAGGATGAGGGTGGAATAAGTTTCATCTTGCTGGAGTGCACAGATGACTCATTGTTTTTCCACTCCCCTGTGTGTGTGTGTGTGTG